TGAGATCGTGACCTGAGCTGAAGTTAAACGCTTAACTGACTGAGTCACTCGGGTGCCCCTCAAAGTGATTTGTTAAAAGAAAAAATAAAAGGAAGAAGGAAAAGAAGAATAAAGATAGAACAGTGAGGCCCAGTAAGATTTCTTGGTAACATATGGTGGGATTATACTTCTTAACTCTGTCAAACTCTATTATGGCAGAACTTTTACTCGAGTGCTCTAGTTGGGAGAATACATCGCCCCTGAATCTTTAAGTCTGGCCCAGACAGATCCCAAGAGCCACAGATCCCCTGGATAATTCCATCAAGACGAACCATAGCATCCCAAACTCCCATCAGAAACCTGGTAAAAGTCACTTGCCCCCTTTCTACCACTGCCTCCAATGCATTCTCCTTGCCTCTTCTCTTTTTATTCTCTGATACAATCTCTGTACTTATATCTCTGTGATTCTATTTTTTTATTTTAATTTTATTTTTTGAATTTACATCCAAATTAATTAGCATATAGTGCAACAATGATTTCAGGAGTAGATTCCTTAATGCCCCTGACCCATTTAGCCCATCCCCCCTCCCACAACCCTCTGTTTGTTCTCCATATTTATGAGTCTCTTCTCTTTTGTCTCCCTCCCTGTTTTTATATTATTTTTGCTTCCCTTCCCTTGTGTTCATCTGTTCTGTGTCTTAAAGTCCTCATATCAGTGAAGTCATATGATTTTTGTCTTTCTCAGACTGACTAATTTCACTTAGCATAATACCCTCCAGTTCCATCCACGTAGTTGCAAATGGCAAGATTTCATTCTTTTTGATGGCCGAGTAACACAAACACATGTTCTTTATCCATTCACCCATCAATGGGCATTTGGGCTGTTTCCATACCTCATCTATAAAAAAATTTTTTTTAATTTTTTTAAATTTATTTTTGAGAGATGGAGAGAGACACAGCACAAGTGGGGGAGGGGCAGACACACACACACACACACACACACACACACACACACACACAGAATCTGAAGCAGGCTCCAGGCTCTGAGCTGTGAGCACAGATCCCGACGCAGGGCTCGAACTTACAAACCATGAGATCATGACCTGAGCCGAAGTCCGACAACTGACTGAGCCCCCCAGGCGCCCCTAACTTTTCCTTTTTGATCGGTAGGAGTTCTTGATATATTTTGGATACTATCCTTTTGTCAGTTCTATGTGCTGTATCCTTCCAAAATATTGCTCACATTTTGCTTGCCTTATAGTATCTGTTGATGGACAGAAATTCTTCATTATTTAAAGGTTTTTTCATTTTAGTAAAACGTACCATTTTAACCATATCTACGGATACAGCGCAGTGGCTTTGAGTTACATTCACACTGTTGTGCTGTCAGTGCCACCATCCATCCCCGGAACTTTTTTCATCTTCCCAAACTGAAATTCTGTATCCGTTAAGTAATGACTCCCCATTCCCTTCTTCCCCCAGCCCCTGATAACCAGTGTTCTACTTTCCGTCTCTATGAATTTGGCTATCGTTGGTACCTCATATGAATGGGATTGTACAATACTTGTCCTTTTGTGACTGGTTTATTTCACTTAGCATAATGTCTTCAAGCTTCATGCTGTAAGCATGTATCAGAATTCCATCCCTTCCTAAGGCTGAATAATGTTCCGTTGTCTTGCCTGGAGTACATCTTGTTTATCTGTTTACCTGTCCGTGGACACTTGGGTGGTTTCTACCTTGCAGCTATTGTGAATAATGCTGCTAGGAACAAATATCTGTTCAAGTCTGTGCTTTCAATTCTTCTGTGTCTACTCTGCTGAGAAGTGGCAGTTGAATCAAAGTGGGATTGAAGGGAGATAGAATTGCTGGAGAAATTCTTAATTTTCTAATTTATCTATTATTTCACTTGTGATGTATTAAAAAAAAATTTTTTTAGGGGTGCCTGGCTGGCTCAGTTGGTGGAGTGTGTAGCTCTTGATCTTGGGGTTGTAAGTTCGAGCCCCACGTTGGGTGTAGAGGTTCCTTAAAAATAAAAAGGTAAAGGGGCGCCTGGGTGGCGCAGTCGGTTAAGCGTCCGACTTCAGCCAGGTCACGATCTCGCGGTCCGTGAGTTCGAGCCCCGCATCAGGCTCTGGGCTGATGGCTCGGAGCCTGGAGCCTGTTTCCGATTCTGTGTCTCCCTCTCTCTCTGCCCCTCCCCCGTTCATGCTCTGTCTCTCTCTGTCCCAAAAATAAATAAACGTTGGGAAAAAAAAAAATTAAAAAAAAATAAATAAAAAGGTAAAAAAAAAAATTACAAAATAAAAATCTTTTCAAGAAGAAATGTAATGTTGGAAAGAAGTGATGCTAATAGGGACCCTTGTGTTGTTCTGGACTTTCCAGGAAATGTGGTCATCTCACCAGAGTATGTTTGCCATGTGTTTATATAACATGCCCTTTATCAAGTTAAGGAAGCTCCCTTCTATTGCTGGTTTGCTCATTATTCTGAATGGACAGTACATTTGACCAAATATGTTTTCAGCATTTTTTGAGATAATCATACGATTTTTATTCTCTAATCTATTACTGTAGTGAGCTTAATGACTTGGGTTAAAAAAATTTTTTTAATGTTTATTTATTTCAGAGAGAGAGAGAGAGAGAGAGAGTGGGTGTGTGTGAGCAGGGGAGGGGCAGAGAGAGAGGAAGACACGGAATCTGAAGCAGGCTCCAGGCTCTGAGCTGTCAGCACACGAACGGCGGGATCATGACCTGAGCCGAAGTTGGATGCTCAACCGACTGAGCCACCCAAGCGCCCCTAAAATTTTTTTTAAGTTTATGCATTTACTTTGAGAGAGAGCGCGAGTGGGGGAGGGGCAGAGAGAGAGGGAGAGAGAGCATTCCAAGCAGACTCCATGGTGTCAGTGCAGAGCCTGATGCGGAGCTCGAACCCATAAAGCTATGAGACCATGACCTGAGCTGAAACCAAGAGTTGGACACTTAACTGACTCAGTCACCCAGGTGCCCCATGAGTTGGGTTTCTAAAAAATGTTTATTTATTTTGAGAGAGAGAGAGAGAGAGAGCACTTGAGTGAGGCAGGGGCAGAGGGAGAGGGAGAGAGAGAATCCCAAGCAGGCTCTAGGCTGTCAGCACAAAGCCCCAATGGGGCTCAAACCCACGAACCGTGAGATCATGACCTCAGCTGAAATCAAGAGTCAGACGCTTAACCGACTGAGCCACCCAGGCGCCCCATCTAGATACTGAGTCTTAAATTCTGACGGTTATTATGTTTTTATTTCCAGAAGTTGTGTTTGGTTTCCAACCAAATCTGCTTGGTTATTGTTTGATATTGCTTTACCCTTCACTCATATATTTGACTCCTTGTTTTGTTAAACATATTACATGTATTTTGTATTCTAGTCTGATAAATCCAGTATCTAAAGTTCTTTGCTGGTCGGATTCAGCTGCCTGTTCTGGAGCCTAGTATGCGGGTGTACAGACCCCTGAGACAGGGGCCAGTCAAAAAGTTTTAGGCCAGGGAGGACTGTTCTCAATATCTTTCCTGCTTTCCTTCCCAGATGTCCCGTTTCCCCCCCCCCCCCTTTTTCTAATTTACTTTTTTGAAAGGCTGATTCATTCCCATGGTTAAAAAAAAAAAAAAAAAAAAAAAAGTGAAAAGTCTCCTTTTCAGCTCCCTGTCCCTTTCCTACCGGCAGCCTCTGTTTTTAGGTTTGTGGATACTTCCAGAGATATTTTATGCAGATTCAAGCAAACACAAATTTAAAAATTCTTTCGCTTTTAACGCAAATGGCAGCACACTACACGCATTGTTCTAAACTTGCTTTTATATTTAAAAAATATGTTTCTGGTTATAAAAGAAATACGTGCTCATTTTGAGTCACATAAATACCCAAGTGTCTACAAGCAGAAAGTGAAAGTCCCTCTGGAATTTTGTTCCCCAGAGATAACCTCCATTATGCATCTATAAATATGTATTTACATAAATGGGCTTATGCAACAGATACTGCTCTGTAACCTATTTTTTTTTTCCTCCAAATTCTATGCCTTGACATCTTTCCACGAATCTTTCCACATCTGTCAGTGCTGTCCACATAGCGCAGCAGTTCAGTGCCTGGGCTTGAGTTAGACAGACAGAGGCTCTAATCCCTCGCTCTGCTGCTTAGTAGTTGTGGGACTTTTCATATCCTCTCTGACCCTCAGTTTTCCTCATCTGTGAAATGGGGATGGAAATAGTACATACCTCATGGTGTTGATCTGAGACCTTAATAAGATCATGTGTGATGTGCTTTCTTCAGGGGCAGCTACTTTATAAGCCTCTGATGAACAACTAGAAGTTTTTATTATGACTCATTCTTTTTTTAATGTTGATTTTTTATGTTTTAATTTTTTTAATGTTTGTTTATTTTTGAGAGAGACAGAGAGAGACAGTGCAAGTGGGAGAGGGGGAGAGAGAGAAGGAGACACAGAATCCGAAGCAGGCTCCAGGCTCCCAGCCTTCAGCACAGAGTCCAACACTGGGCTCGAACCCACGAACTGTGAGATGATGACCTGAGCCGAAGTCGGACCCTTAACCAACCGAGCCACTCAGGCGCCCCTTTAATGTTTATTTTTGAGAGAGAGAGAGAGCGTGTGCACAAGGGGAGGGGCAGAGAAAAAGAGGGGGTCCGAGGATCCGAAGCAGGCTCTGTACAGCAGAGAGCATGATGCAAGGCTTGAACTCACGAACCATGAGATCATGATTTGAGCTGAAGTCGGATGCTTAACCAACTGAGCCATCCAGGCGCCCATGACTCACTCTTTGTAATGGCCACTTCGAATCCATAGTATGCTGTATCACGGTTTCTTAACCATTCCCCCTTTGATGGACATTGGAGGGTACTCATTCGGGGTTTTTGTTTGTTTTTTGCTAATCGGGCGAACACTGAACATCTTTCACACCTTTGTGTGAGTGTCTTCTTGTGAATTATCTGCAGTGGGGTCACTGGTCCTCTGAATCCTAATCTCTGCATCCTTTCTCTCCAAGGAGGAAATGAAAATGCCCCATGGGGTGAAGCATGTGTATTACGTAGGTTTTGCCTTTTTATTTCTGCTCTTCCTCCTCCCTCTCCTCACATTCGGTGGGGTGGGAGGGATCCTCCACACTAGAGGCAATCCCAGCCCCCCTGGCCTGCTGTCCTCCAGAGCCTTGTAGCACTCCCCTTTCCCTACGATGCTGAACCTCAGACTTCCAGTTTCCCCATGCTTTGGAAACTGACCATTCGTGATCATTCATTCAAAGATTAGATTTCAGACACATCTGCTTTTACAATAGTTCTCCATGGTTTGCAATAGATTAGAAGAAATCAAACATACTTGTAATGGAATAAAAGCCCAAAGTAAGAAAGAAAAGGGGAAAGAGAAGGAGAAATCTTGGTATGACAACCTCTACTATCTACCAATCCCGGAAAGGTGCAACTGCTGGACCCAAAGTTAATGCTGAGCTTCCTGGCAGCCAAAGTAAAAAGGGGAACAGGATAGATTCTACAGCTCATAAGAAGCCCCAAATCCATTTTGCACCTTGAGATACTCATAAAGGGCTGGGGCTGAGGAGGGAAGGTGAAAGGATAAGAATGAAGACAGGCTCCTCTCCTGGGACAGAGGCCATGCAGTCAGCAAAACATTTCTTATTTTTTTTTTCAACGTTTATTTATTTTTGGGACAGAGAGAGACAGAGCATGAACGGGGGAGGGTCAGAGAGAGAGGGAGACACAGAATCGGAAACAGGCTCCAGGCTCTGAGCTGTCAGCACAGAGCTCTATGCGGGCGAATCAATGGGATCATAGATCATGACTGAGCCTAAGTCGATTCTTCTACCAACCGACCGAGCTACCCAGGCTTCCAATAGTGTATTTTTTTTTTTTTTGGGCCTTATTATTTTTGGGACAGAGAGAGACAGAGCATGAACGGGGGAGGGTCAGAGAGAGGGAGACACAGAATCGAAATAGGCTCCAGGTTTCCGAGCAAAGCCAGAGCCCCAGACCGCCGGGCCTGAACGACCGGCGAGATTTGACCTGGCTGGAAGTCGGACGCTAACTCCCATCAAGGCCACCCAGGCGCCCCAAAACATTTCTTGAATGCCACTTTGTGTCAGGCCTTTTCTAGGCATCGGGCCCAGGACATACATATTCTCTGTCCTCATGTTGGCTTACGGTGCCATAGGGGAGAGTGACAGTGTGAAACGGGCCCTCTGAAGGGCCTGCGCTGCTCAGTTCTGAAGTGCTTTTCCACCCCTGCAGCTTGGATCCGGGGCAGTGGTCCACCTCCTGGGGGCCATCAGCTGTGGCCAGGCAGGGGAGCCACAGCATCCAAAGCTGGAGGTTCTGGAGAACATGATGGAGGCCAGCTCAGTATCACCTGTCCAGAGGTCCAGAAGGAAGGAAAGGCCTGTGGCCCGAGGCCCCACTGGATGCCAGGTACAGAACAGGTTCTTTTTTCTTTTTCTTTTTCTTTTTCTTTTTCTTAACGTTTATTTATTTTTGAGAGACAGAATATGAGTGGGTTAGGGGCAGAGAGAGAGGGAGACAGAGGATCCGAAGCAGGCTTCAGGCTCCGAGCTGTCAGCACAGAGCCGGACGTGGGGCTCGAGCTCACGGACACGCGAGATGGTGACCTGAGCT